CTAGGGCCACCCAGAGGATGGGCTAAGAGGAGCATACTCTGTCTCTGCCAAACATGCAGACTCATCCCTTCCCAGGAGGCCTGGCCCACACATGACTTCATCATCCACACTCCACCTGCCCAACTTGGAGGCTGCATGAAACTGAGACATGGATGTGATAAGCCATGAAAGACCATGTAGTGTGAGATGTCCTTACATGGTGTTCAGATGGAAAAAAGGCCTTTCTTTTTCTTTGCTGTGGCCTTTCACAATTTATGAGAAGCACCTGGTAATTAAACCCCAAGACTGTTAGCGCCTCTGATTCAAACAGCCACTCTGCTCAAACTGCAAGACAAGTTACTCTCAGGGCTACATTCTTGCATCCCCCTCCTCCCTGTTCTTTTTTTTTCTTCTTTTTTTAACAACTCAAGGATAATTAGTAAAAGTTCCCTTCCCCCCTTCCTCTTCAAACATGCCTCTTTTGAACTCTTCATAACTTTTACTCTAAGCATGTTTTACAGGTCTGGAAAAATACTGATAAGACACCTCCCTAGGACATCTGCCCCTGTCCGACTGTCTCCTAAAGAACTAACAAACTACAACCACTTTGATGTCTACTCAATTTCAGCCCCCAAATCCCCCTCTCTTCCTTGTCACCTAGCAACAGCAGCAAGGCTTTACAAGAGCAGGCTGATGTTTATTTCTTGCCTTTGTAATGATTTGCAATGCATTGGCTCATTCCTCATTGGGTAAGTAAAATAAACTTCCTCCCTTCTTTTAGTTGTGAATTCTTTCACAGCCTGAATCACCAGCCAAAATAACAACAAAAACAAATGGGGCACTTATTTGCCAGGAATGACTGCTGACTCCCTGGGCAATGCCACATACCCTCCTGTTCCTTCAAATCCCCCAGTCTGTGCTTAAGAACAGTTTGTGTGGTGGCCGTTTAACAGAGGCCCTTGGAAGGGGGTGGTGCTTCCTCTGGGCATAACCAACAGTTTGTTCGTGGTATCAGTTTGTAGCACTGAGTTTGTGCAGGGTGCTGCGGGAAGCCACCACTTGCCAATACTGTCAGTGCACCAAGGAACGTGAAGGCCGATGGAACTTGGGTGTTAGCCGGGTTGACGCTAAGCACCACCGAGTGTTGAGGTAGTGGTGGCTCAAGGCAATTCCCTAACCTGATAATCCTTTTACTGTTTACCAAACTTTACCTTTGATATGCCTGTATGCATTGCTAAAGAGCAAATGTATATTCAAGTAAATAAAAAGCAGACCAGCCAGAGGTCAGTGTCTCTTCACGAAAGAGACACCTCCTGGCCCCCAATGCCTTCTAAATTCGAAATTTCTTGTAAGCATTTTCATTTGTGCGTCAGCCCCTCCTTCAGATCCTGAACCCTGGTTGCGGCAGGGTGCAGGTTGAGGAAGAGGCAGGGAGAGTGAGAGGTGTTGTCCCTGTCTTCCAGAAGCTTACAATCAAGTTGGGGAGACAGGTGTTATAATCACACCAAAACCCCAAAACCTAATTACAAAGTGTCACCAATGGTGTACAGAAAAGTCTAGGGGACTGTGGAAGTACAGAAAATCAGACCTAATGCAGGAGTCAGGGAACATCCCTCCAAGCAAGCCGGGAGGAGGTGGAGTTAATGGAACCAGAGGCAAAGGAGGGGAAGGGAAACAGCAGAGTGGTATATATAAACAGGTGGTCCATAACTGAAAAGCTCCCATTATAGACTCCCAATTGGTACAGGATTCTAAGGCAGGAGGAAGTTAAAACAAGGCCCAACAGTGTGGGTAATTTGTAACCAGCTTGTACATAATAAACCCTTACCTTCCTCAGCCAAGGATACTTGAGAGCAAATGGTTAAAAGCCTCCCTAACAAGAGATGGAGGAAGGTGGGGGAAAGGGGAAAGGAAAAAAAGGCAGTTTTACTCCCTAAGCAGAAAAGCCAGCAGTCTTGAAGCTTGGCAAGATAAAGTTGCCAGGTGTTTCTCATGAATTCTGGAGGGCCACAACAAACTAAAAAGAGACCTTGAGAATTAACCTGTACCAAAATATTCAACAAAGGATTTTTGAAATCTATAGACAGGAGGGTATATAAGGCCTCGGACCCTCACCCAACTCACTCTTCAGATTAGCTGAGAGCCCATCTGCACTTCATACGCTAGATGTACAGGTTGCTTGCTTTGCCTTTTCAATAAAGGTGCATGCTTTAATAGATCGGCTTTTCATAGCGCAAAGTTTATACGAGAAGACAAGGATGGAGGTTGGGGACAGCCCTCTCCCACTGACTCAGGGGGCTGTCTGGTATCACCTCTCTGGTGTCAGTGAGAAGTGCCTCTAACACAATCACTTGGCTTTCTCTAGCTCACACCACCTCCACCCTCAGAGGTTGCCAGCTAGCTCAGCAAGCCCTTGGGCTGCCAAGTTCTAGCACTGGCAGAATTGGGAAATCCTGAATGCAGCCCATTTTCCATCACCCCTTCTGATGGAAGTAGGATGAGAGCGCCAATCCCTCTCAGACAGCATCACATGTGCCTGTGAACCATTTATTTTTACACTTGAACACGGGTGTATCTGATGCCTTGGGAATTTTAAATATTTCAAAACAGGACACAGAAAGGACCAGAAAGCAGATCTTGTTTTCCCATCTGTCTCCTCCCACCCAGCCCTGCACTTTCCTCCCTGATCAGTATTACAACTCAGAGCTGATGTATCAGCCTAAGCCCCAAATGTCCACAGGAAGGCTTGTGCCCTGATGTCACAGGCTAAGCTAGAAGGGCAGAATCCTCCCCACTAGAACTAAGTCTCACACCAGCCAACAGGCTCTCTAACTTTCTAGAATCTGTTTTCTCACCTGTGAAATGGCAGCAGCAGCCCTTGACCCACAGAATTAATGAGGTCGTGTATGAAGAGCACGTAGCTCAGAGCCTGTCACAGTGTTCAACAGATACAACAGATACAAATCATTGTTTGCATTACTTATATTTGTGGAGACACATGTAGAGCATGAGAAAGTTAAAAGAACCAAGAGAGGTTATATAGGTTGCTCTTAATCAGAAGCAAAATCAAAAGGCATGTAGGTCTCAAAGAATGGTTCTAAACTAAAAAGCAGTAAGATTTCTAGGAACTAAGATGATGATGACAATACTATTATACAATTCACATCACGCTAAATTCCTGTCAAAGCCTTGGCAAACCACTCTGACTCCCATGAGAGAGCTCCAACAGCACCTGGGCCTCAGCAGTGCAGGTTAGTACGACTGGTCTAGAGGACAGTTTTGCTACCTGTACATTCTTTCTTACTCACTTCCATTTCCAGGCATTTGTCCTAGAGATAAATGAACCTGTGAGCAAAGATTCACATGTGTGGCTCAGTGGTTGAGCACTGACTCATGAGTCAGGAGGTCAGGGTTCGATTCCCAGTCAGGTCACATGCCTGGGTTGTGATCTCCAGTGATTCTCTCATCATTGAAGTTTCTATCTCTCTCTCACTCTGAAATCAATAAAAACATATTTTAAAAAACTGTTTTTAAGTATCATTGTTTTGATGTTCAACCAAAGGGACAAGTTAACCATCTGGTTTACTCATACAATATAAATGTATTCACCCCTGCAAAAAATAATATAGATCTGTTTTTACTTATTGAAAGCTGGTTTTGATACAGCACTGAGTGAATAAGTTACAGGACAGTGAAAGCTAGAAAAACTCCAGGGCAAGAGGAATAGGGAAACTAAGACAGGAAAGTTAAAAACAATTGCCAAACAACATGGGCAATTTGCAGCCAACTTGTAAATAACAAGCCATTATCTTCCCCAAACCAAGGACACTAGAGCGCAAATGGTTAAAAGCCTCCCTAACAAGAGAATGCAAGAAAGGAGGGGGAAAGGGGAAAGGAAAAAAGGGCAGTTTTATTCTCTAAGCAGAAAAGCCAGCAGTCTGAGGCTTGGCAAGATTAAATTGCCAGGTGCTTCTTATGAATTCTGGGAAGGTCACAACAAAGGAAAAAGGGACCTTGAGAATTAACCTGTACGAAGATATTCAACAAAGGAATTTTGAAACCTATAGACTGCACGTGGGGGGTGGGGGGGTTGACACCCCTATCCCCCGCATTGTTCAAGGGTTAACTGTATATTACACACCAAATGTTAAGAGTAGTTTTCTCTGGAGAGTGGGATTTTAGATGATTTCTTTATATATAAACACACATACAGAAACTTTTTATTTATGTGTAGTTTCTAATGTTTCTAGTATGGTCAGCTCCTTTGACGTTCCTTCCTCAAAACGGTCACTATAATTGTGCTAAGTTTATGTGTATTCCTCCTCAGTCCAGAAGGGTGACTCTGACTATAATCTGATTTTTCCCAGAGGAAAAGAAATGCTCCCAGGAGCACTGGCTGTTGGCTCATTTTCCTCTCGTAAGATGGTGTGTGGTCTTTCCATTGCTTCCGTATGACTTTGGTAGCATGAGTTGGTTCTCTGTACCAGGTCACCTCCCAGTGTTCCAGTAAAACTGAGGGTCTAGACCTGTTGTTGGACCATAAAGGCCATCGAAGGTAGTTCTAGCCTCAGAGACCCTAGTGGAGAGCCAACAGGTCACCTGGCAGACAAGAGCAGGTAAGAAAAACCGAAGAGACACAATAAACCTGAGACTAATGAGGTTACAGGGCTTGCCACTAGCTGGAGCCAGTGCTAGGAGTACAATTCAGGCCTTCAACTTGTCATTCAGCCACCTCCTCCCGCCCTCAGGGCTGCCTCTCTGGCGGGACTGAACTCAGGAGCTTGGTTCTGTGTTCTACTGTTGGCACAGAAGGAGGAAGTACATACAGATAGGAGAGGATGAGGAGTAAAGGATGGAAAAACAGATACAGCTGCACCCACCAGTGAATAAACAAGTCATCTGCACCTGTTGGACAGGCAGAACTTGGTATCTAAAAGACAGACTAATTTTAGAATTGCAATGAGTCTAAACAACACTACTTAGGCAATCAAAACAGAGCCCCGAAAAGAAAAAATCCTTACCTCTGCCTTCAGGAAGCTGACACAAAACAAACAGTCTTTGGATTGACTCTATTTTCATCAGTTATCGGAGATCATGACATACCATCCTGACCCAGGGAAAAGTGCAAGGCCTTTTAGTGCAGCCAAGCCACGTGGCTACTACACAGTCCCTGCCACCCAGTTGGAAGAGTCTTATTTCAGACACAAATGCCTGTTGGCCTGGCTGGCCCAGGGGAGGAGCTCAGCCTGCAGCCAGGCCTTGCCCAAGTCCCCCAGGCCACAGGGGAGAACAAACGTCTACATTTCCAAGAGAATAGCTTTGTCTTTCCGCCTTCACATGCTCAGAGCTCCTATATATACCTAAATATATACTATAGCCTCCTCATTCCTCTCAGTTCAGTGAGGGTCCTGTCTCTGCATCATTTCAATTCCTAATTTTACAGGGCAATCTCAATTCTTTTTTTTTTTAAATATTCACATTCTTCATTATTATTATTTTTGTTCTCACCTGAGGATATTTTTCTATTGATTTAAAAAAAAATTTTTTTTAGAGAGAGTGGAAGGAAGGGGGGGAGAGAGAGAGTGAGAGAAACATCAATGTGAGAGAGACACATTGATTGGTTGCCTCCCGCACACATCCCAACCAGTGCTGGGGATCAGGGATCGAGCCTGCAACCAAGGTATGTGCCCTTGACTGGAATCGAACCCAGGACCCTTCAGTGTGCGGGCTGATGCTCTATCCACTGAGCCAAACCAGTTAGGGCTAATCTCAATTCTTTTAAACAAAGTACTGCTGGGTGAAGAGTATTAGTTGTAGTAACTTTAGTGGCAGTGTGGCATGCTTCTAGAGGTCACCTGGATGGAATCAGTCAAAAGAAAAAAGGTCAAAAACTAGTAGACATGTAGCAGATAAGTAATTATTCCTGGCATGAGATCTCATAATTGCAATGGTTGGATGTTGCCATAAACATCCTTTTAAAGCAGCGGTTCTCAACCTGTGGCTCGCCAACCTGTGGGTCGCGACCCCTTTGGGGGTCGAACGACCCTTTCATAGGAAGACCATCAGAAAACACATATATAATTACATATTGTTTTTGTGATTAATCACTATGCTTTAATTATGTTCAATTTGCAACAATGAAAATACATCCTATATATCAGATATTTACATTACGATTCATAACAGTAGCAAAATTACAGTTATGAAGTAGCAATGAGCCCAAACCGGTTTGGCTCAGTGGATAGAGCGTCGGCCTGAGGACTCAAAGGTCCCAGGTTCGATTCCGGTCAAGGGCATGTACCTTGGTTGCAGGCACATCCCCAGTAGGGAGTGTGCAGGAGGCAGCTGATCGATGTTTCTCTCTCATGGACGTTTCTAACTCTCTATCCCTCTCCCTTCCTCTCTGTAAAAAATCAATAAAATATATTTTTTAAAAAATTACAGTTATGAAGTAGCAACGAAAATAATTTTATGGTTGGGGGTCACCACAACATGAGGAACTGTATTAAAGGGTTGTGGCATTAGGAAGGTTGAGAACCACTGTTTTAAAGGGAACACAGTAAGAAGTTGTGTGATAGGACCGATGAAAAAAACAACAACAAAGATAAGTAGAACAGTCCAGTGGATGTGCTCAGGTAGCCAGGGGTGCTCAGTCGGCCTGCACTGCCAATCACATGGGCTGGTGTCTGTAATAAGGACATGAAGTCCACAAGGTGAGAGGGAAGAGTGGGAACAAATCTAATCAGTATTTTAAATTATGTTACAAGAAATAATATATGGAAGCTGAACTAAATTCATATCACTCTAAAAGGGACATCTGACCTGAAGAGTCTACCCCTGCCTGTTGGGACAGAACTATTTTGGATTTTCTCCTTGGAAAAATGGGAGCTCACATTATATTTGGGACTGCCTTATTTTTAGCCACGTGTATATTGCTCTATGAGTCATACATCCGACCACCTTTCAGGCTGGAAACGTCATTAGGAATCACAAAGTCCAATGTCTCCGCTGACATTCATTTAGTCTTCTAAACACTTACTAAGCACCCTCCAAAGGCAGGACCAGGTACATGCTGAAATAACAGTGGGCAAGGCAAGCCCCCCCCCCCCCCCCCCCCCCCCGCTGCTCCGTGGCTACAAAAGATGCCCTGACTCATGCCCAATGCCCCTTCAGCTACACCTATCTCTGCCTTGTCTCTTTTTTTCACACATTCACCAAAGTGTTTTTCAAAAATGCTTAAGCAGGATTTTACTAGTACACTCCCAACCAAGTTCTTTGCACAGTGTTAATCCATCGTGTGAGATTACATGGGTTTCATGCACCCGGAACAAAGAGAGAAAAAAACACTGAGATGATCTGACCAGTCCCGATTTTATCTCAGAGAGGACAGGGCTCAGAAGGGGAATGGAACCAAGGAGTGCACACGCTGTCTCCTCAGGGGAAATGTCAGTGCCTCTGCGCTCACAGGCCACTCAAGGACTTTATGAGATAGACCAATTGACTTTAGAACCTAACTACTGAATATTCCATTGGGAATTCAACTCTGTATTCAAACTGTATTTCCCACACTTGGAGCGATGGAGCACAGACAGACCATGGTCCCTACACCTCTGGACTACACCATCAGCTGCCTTAATGGACCTTCCACGGGGGAGGGGGCTGTAAACACAGCAATAGGTCAAATACACAGCACATCAGATAGGGAGGCTCACTGTGGAGGAACAAAGAGCAGGAAAAGGAGTGCTGTGGCCTGCTGTTTTAAGGAGGGAGGGTTTCTCTGAGCAGGGAACATTCAGGCAGATGGGACAGAGGTGAGGAGCAAGCCTGTGTGAAGCTGTGGAAAGAGAGGCTAAGTTCAGCACGGGGGCTGGGTAGAGTGGATGCCAGGAGAATGTGAGGAGCTGAGGGAGAGAGGCTTAGCGGGCGGCTCAGGGTGATGTGCCAGGTCCTCAGCTACTGAAGGACATCCACCTTTACTCCGAGTGAGCTGAGGGCTTGAGAAATGGGGTTGCCCATGGCTCTCCACATCCTGCACTGTGCCTAGTGTACTAACATGACTCCCTAAGAGTCCTGATATCAATAGCTGGCTGCTGGAGGTGGGGAAGTCCATAGGGCGTGGCCTCCACCAACAGCAGGCACAGCTTCCCTTTGGCCAGTTTGACTGGGGCTACACTTGGGGGAAATGGGTCACAGCGTGGCCTTCGTGCTCCCCAGGCGAATCAGGTAACCTGACCTGTCCACATTGGACAGACACTGTAGCCTGAACAGCAGGCAGCATAGCATATGGAGGAGCCCTGTTTGTTATCACTACTCCCGTCACCATGATGCATGTCTGAGTGGCCTTCCAGACTTTTCTCTGCACCTTAATCCTTGACCTGTCAGCAAGTATTATTAATGCCATGGTTCAAAAAGCTCTCAGATCCACTATCTCATCTGCTGGTCAGGTAAGAGGAGAAAAGTCTGGACTTGGCCTCTCTACCACACTGCACGCCAGCCTCCCTAGACTGTAACTTGCCCGTCTCCAAACTAAATCCCTCTCTGCCCGCATCAATGGACCCCTCCACAGATCATTCTCTCAGCCTCCAAACACTCTCCCAACCTCTATCCAGCAAACCTGACCCTTTCCTGTAATTCCCTGCCAGGAAATCTTTCATCCCTCACTCTTCCCCATCAGACACTGGGACTCTCCCACTTGTATCAGCACATGGCACATGGTTGTTAAATAAGCAAATCCGTGAGGTTTGGGGTTAAATTAACTAGGGTTTCCATGCTATTAAGTCTAATCCAAATACCCACTTCCCATAGCCTTTGGGCCAGAACAGAGCCTCAGCGGAGATGCAGTCCATGCTTCTTGATGAAAGTGCTTTTGTTTATGGCCAAAAATTCAGACAAGAAAAAAGAACACACCCTTTCTTGAGTCATAGTCAACTCCATGGAGCCGTTTTCACAATGGGGCTGGGAGAGCACACATTTCCCGCAGCCCCCACTGTTTCAGGGGAGCAGGGTCTGGAGCCCTGCTCTCCATTCTTCAGCCTCGGGCAAGTCAGTCAGTAGCTCGGCTGCTTCGTGCCAGTGCTACCTCCCGCAGCCACTGTGCTGACTACCCAGGGAGAACGCTTACAGAGGGCGCACACAGCAAATGAAATTTCATTCCCTGCTGCTTCCCCAACCTGTAAACTGTAAGGCTACTGCTCTTAATGCTAATTAAAACTAGGACAGCCATATTTCACTTCTTCTGCCCACCCTTGGGTTAGGATCTCCTCAGACCCCACCCAGGGAAACCGCTCCATGCTTTTTCACCACCTTCTACCTTCCCTGGCCTCCAGCTCTCCTTGAAGGAAAAACGCAGACACTGGAATAGATCTGAATTCAGACTGAATCAACACTTACTGAACACATTACGTATCTAGCATGTTCACAGTTTTTACTGGACCCTCATGACACCTCCTTGTGGTAAAAATAGATGGTGCTGGGTCACCCAATAGACAGACATGCAGGAGCTCATAGCACCCACAGATCGGGAGCACCAAAATGGTGCTGAGAAATGTCTTCTGGAAAAATTATGCCACCAAAACCCCATCACAACTGTTTCATGGGAAGAATCAGAATGTCACTGACTTCCTTACCCTGCAATGCATGGTTCTGTACTTTGCCTAACATTAGGGGACACAGGTCTTCATCTGGCCTGGGCATTGCTTTGCACCTTTCACAGATGTACCAAGTGAGACTCTGGGAGGGCAAATGCCTGTCACACAGCTTGGAAGTAAGAGAAAGGCCTCCAGTGTGGTCTGCCAAATCTGGGCATTTCTGGTCCCAGGACCCCACCATTATCACCAGAGCCTGCTGACTCACAGAGTAGTGGGGAGGGGACGGGTCTGCAGGCTCAGGAGTGACCTACCTATATGTCCCTGGGTGGGTGGCCCTCTCAGGGGGAGGGGTTCTGACCCAGGGTTCGGCCAAGCACCCCCTCTCCTCTGCAGCACTAAATTGCAATGCAGGGGGTTGTCTTCCCAGGAATTCTCTGGAAGAGTCCTGATTGTGTAGAGATGAGGAAATGGAAGCCCTTTGTGGGGTCCTAGAAACCACACTTCCATTCTGTGAATTCCATTTCCAAGTCCCCTCATGGGGGCACAATAAACCTCATGCCACCACTGCTGGCCTGGCTCTCCTCTCTCCTCCCACTAAGGACCAACATTTTCTGTTCCAGTGCTTGCTGCCTTCTCAACAGCAAGACTTCACTCCTCCACGTAAGGACAGAAACATCAATATAAGATGCCATAACTTTAACAGCCACACTTCTCTGTGTCCTCTGAGTAAAAATAAGCTTCTGAAAGTGGAGGTGAATTTTCTCAGGACCTGTCTCTTCTCCACTCAGACAATTAAAGAGGGTTAGGGTTGGTGTCTGTGGCTATGGAACAAAGTACCTGGG